AGGCCTACTTTTCACAGCATTACGGCAGGAAGAAGATCGACAATCTTGTTACTTCATCTGCATAATAAAAGAATCATGTGAATTGCCTGACAACTAAGACATCAAAGAGACTCAAAATTAACTACGATTAGCAATAAGATTTACTTCCACAAAAGTTAAGAGTTCCATCTTCAATGTCCACTTTTGATACAACAAAGAATAATGTATAGACAACAAGAACTGGTTACATAGAAACAAAACAAATTAAAGATTGATCTGGAATTTTCACTTTTGGTTAAAGCTTTTTTGTTAATGTGTGTGTATGAGAGAAAAAGAGAGACAACACTTTTGACAAATTTAAATTATGTCCACCGTAATTTTTTTTTTTTGTCGTATGATTCTTATAAAGGGAAAATAAATTTTCATTAAATGAAAAATAATTAAAATTTTCATCAGATTTTCAAACAATTTTTTCACCACTTAAATGTGATAAAATTATCAAAACATAAAGAGTCGGACAGATCTTGTAAATAATAGAGTTAATTATCTAAGAGTTATATTTACAAATATTGTAGTGTTATTTTGCCAAATTCTGTTGTTGTTCAACGTATCGTCATCCAATCTATGTAGTTAAATAATTCTAATTATGAGGTGATGGCTGGTCCTATGTGTTTCATATGACCCGAAATTCTCGCTCTCTCTCTTTCTCTCTCGCTTTCTCTCGTAATGGTTTATTTGAAGCTGACTTGAATATCAAGCTGTTTTTCATAAAAAATATGGTTCCATACACGTAAGCTTAGTTAAGTTCATAAGGAGGCTGTAGAAAATAAAGTGAGAGACAAAAGGTACAGCCAAGAATAGAGCCTAACTTTGTAGCTGCATTTTTTAGATTGTGGTGCCAATCTAATATGTTTTTTCTTAGACCTGTTGGAAAAGGTACAGTTAAGAGAGTCATTGGAATTTGGCTGACTTGAACATCAAGTTGTTTTTCATCCAAACTATAGTTCCATCCTTATATTTTCCTCCTGAGAACATAAACAACTGGGCAGTTGGACAATTTATATTTCATAAACCTATCAAAACATAAACAGCTGAATATGAATATGAATAAGAATATGAATATGAATGGAATAATAAACTTTACCTTCATGTTGTAGTCACATCCATAAGTGTAATGGATGATAAAAATTTTCCCAGTTTCCAAATCCCATGGTGGCTGAAAAATCAGCAGAGCAAGAACTTTTAAGAAAGCTTTGATGTGCACATAATAATGTTGTATCTGTGATTCATCAATCCACTACAATTGAAAAACCTAAGAAGAGATTAACAGTGCAGGGTTCAAAACCTGTATCATAAAGTCTTTTCGAAGTATATGCTGCACACCATGCAAAGCCGAGGCCACAGCATAAGCATACCTTAGCTCAAAAAAGGAAAATATAAATGTCAAAAAAATTCACCATTCCTAAATTTTAACTCAACTGCGATATAAGTGATTTATTTTCTCTATTCTACTCACATTTCTAGCACCCATCCAAATGTTTTATCAGTCTCTGGGTCATCTTTCATTCGCAAAGAAATATTCATCCATGTCGGTGCAATCTTCTCCCAAGTATCTTGGACATTTATGAAAAAGACACAAAAAGAATAACAATAGAAGCCAAAATCAACAAGCCACTGTAAACTCAAAATAGTTTAAGACTTAACATGAATTAAGATGTATTTCAGAAGTTACTGCCATGTGATAGGAAACTGAGTCAAACCAATTATTAGGAGGTAAATAGTGAGAATGGATTTTACTACCTTGATAATAACAGGGGAATTGCCTGTTGGATCAATATTTGTTAGAGGGCCATTCTCCTTGGCAAAAAACTTCCTCACAATCTTCTCATGTTCTTTGGGCTTGATGTAGAAAAAAGGAAAGCCAGCAAGAAGCCCCCCATGTGCCAAATTAGGAAATGGATTTACAAATATGTGATCAGGCTCTGCCATCAATATGTATCTATGGCAGTAGCAAACAAACAGATTTAGAGTTTACTAAATGTAAAATGTAACTCAGACATTAATAAAATGACACTCACTCTTCTTCAATAGTAGATTTTTCCAGCCATTGTAGAAAGGCCCATGGTCTATTTAAAACAATATAACCCTGATACAGCATTTGAAAAACATATTAGAAAAAAAAAATTAAAATAATAAATTAATTACATAGTTTTAAAAATCTGACCGACATTAATAACAGCTGCATATTTAATCATAAAGGGGAAGGAGAAAATGAAGTGGGAAAAATGTTCAACTACATCTTTGCTGATCATTATGGAAGCAAATAAGCAGCCTAGCTGGAACCAAGGTGCAAATCTGTGACTTGCAGTTAAACTTTAGTCGATCAGGAAATTAGTTCATAAGAGTTGCTAGAAGTTTAAGAAAAACCTTAACAGAATTACATGAAATTTTAACAACTGATTTGAGTCCTAGGACAGGAAAATAGATCATAGGAATCAGATAGAAAAAAGGATAAGGCCATTTGGGTAGCAATATTTTCGCAGTTCTATGGTTAATCTGGTTCTATGTTACTTAGATCGTGGATTGTTCTGATACGTGAAACGAAAATGGGAACAGGAACGGGAAGGGAAACGTATTAAGCCACATGCTCTAAAATGTGGTATGATGGGGGTAAACTTGTATATATTATACTTGAGAATTTAAGGAATTTCTAGAGTAATTTTTTTTTTTTAACTATTAGACATCCAAAAAATTTAATATTTTCTATGAGCATTATGACCCCCCTTTTTTTTTTGTTGATATTTTTGTCTTGTCAAAACTTAACTCACCTTAGATTTGAATTCATTATATTTGATTTTTTTCTTCCTAAGGTAACATTCAAGGATATATATTGAAAAAAACTTTTGGAATCGCTTTGGATCACTAAAATTACCGTTTTAGAATGGAAATGTAACCATGTTTCGAAACGCGTGTACCAATATGTAATTTAGTAAGATATTAATGTTTTCTGGTAACATAGATCTGGTTAGCCAGGAACCAAATAGTTTTTCAGAATTTGCAACCTAATTGGGATTCCATCCTCAATCTTATAAAGATAAGAGTGGCATTTTGCATCAAGGCAAAAACAACTCTCATGGAGTATTTATTAATGACTTTGTCTACCATTTGCAGCAAATTAGATTGGGCTCTTCGTGATTCTGTTTTTGGCTTATTTAGATTTTGGTGTGGAATATGCTTTGTTTTTGGTGTCGGGTAGTGAAGACTTCCGTTGCCTTTTGCCTTTTGCCTGCTGCTGCAAGTATGGACAATTAGGGATTAATGGGCTGCTTGTTTGGCCGCATAAAGGATGGGAATGGATTGGGTATGAGATGGAGTCCACCAATGGCATGTTTGGTTTGGGCATACACTAGTAGGATTAAGACTCCAGGTGGATTACTAATCCCCCTATGTGGGTGGATTAGCTTAGGTAGATTTTGGGTTCAACAAATGTGACCATTCCATTGCCAGGCTTCAGAACAGCTGCTTGGCCTTTTGATGCATTAGAAGAAATCATGAAAGAATCCATTCTGAATGTTCTAAAACTCAGGTATAGGCACTTTGATGCGGCTGCACTTTACTAGTCAGAGCAGACCCATGGTGAAGCCATAGCACAAGCTCTACAGCTCGGCCTCATTCAATCTCGCAGTGAGCTTTTCATCACATCCAGACTTTGGTGCTCCGATGCACACCCTGACCGTGTCCTCCCAGCACAGTAAGATAATATAATTTTCATTCATAATTATAATTAACAAAGTTATACATACTACTTTATTTTGATTATGTTTTAGTACATGTAGTATTTTTAGGAGACTTGGGTTGGAGTATTTAGATCTATATTTCATTCACTTCCCAATCAGCTTGAAGTCCGGGGCCTACGAGGTGCCTTTCAGTAATAAGGACCTTATTTCCATGGATTTCAAGTCTGTGTAGGAGGCTATGGAGGAGTGTCATAAACTCGGCCTCTCCAAGCATATTGAAGTTAGCAATTTCTCTTGCAAGAAGCTTCAACAGTTACTTCTCACATCAAAGATCCCTCCCGCTGTCAATCAAAGAATGTCAAAAAATAGAAGAAATGACCAAAAAATGACATAAGGTTAGGGAGCTTGGATGGATGCCTCCTGTTGCTCCCTATTTTGATATGCTTCTGAAGCCCTTTATTTTTTTTTTTTAATCTGCAAAAAATGGGCGATTTTATTGAGTAAACAATGATGAGTACATCAAATAAAAAGAAAGGAAGAAAAGGAAGTGCATGAAGACTACATCATAGCAATCTCGAATCATCCCAACTAGGTTGGCACAAGATAAAACATGGAATCATGTGCAAGCACCTCCAAAAAAATCTTATTAAGGTTGCTAAGAAATCAACCAAACTGATAGAAAGAGAACACCAAAGCACGAAAACAACAACTAAGCAACCTAAGAATTTCCACTGCCATTTAACAAAGGAAAGCCAATACCTTTGAAATGAGCAATAAATCCTTTAGAAACTTCTCTGACTTAACTTCAGAAAAGTTAGCCAATACCAATTTCTAACCAATAATATTTGGGAGTTTTAATTTGAGAGCTCTAATAAAGCTCTAATGATGTAGAGAGTGCCCATGTGATGAGGGTTCACACTCTCCTCTCTCTATCTCTCTCTACAAAAATGTTTAAAAGCATTAAAAGTGGAGCTCTAATGAAAGCTCTACTTATGTGGCATCCACTCATGAATGATTTGATGTATGTGTCTTTTTTTATTTATTTATTTTGTTCTATGCCACATCATTAGTGTCATTGTTAGAGCTTCAAATTTAGAGTTGTGAATCATTGCTCCTCTCTCTACTCTCTCTCTCTTCCACCTCATTAAAGCTTTCATTAGGGCTACTCTGTAACGACTCATTTCTAACAGTCCAATACCAAACCATAAACAAACTTATTCCCTAATTGTCCGTACTTGTAGCAACAGGCAAAAGCCAAAAGCCAAAAGCCAACAGAAGTCTTCACTACCTGACACCAAAAACAGAGCATATTCCACACCAAAATCCAAATAAGTCAAAAACAGAATCACGAACAGCCCAATCTAATTTGCTGCAGATGGTAGACAAAGTCATTAATAAGTACTCCATGAGATTTGTTTTTGCCTTGACGCAAAATGCCACTCTTATCTTTGTAAGATCGAGGATGGAATCCCAATCAGGTTGCAAATTCTGGAAAACCATTTGGTTCCTGGCTAACCAGGTTGACCATAGAACTGCGAAAAATATTGCTGCCCAAATGGCCTTATCTTTTTTTCTTACTCTATTTCCATCCCACCTGAAAAACAGAGATTTAACAGAATTTGGAGTCACCCATTCAATATGCTACCAGTTATGATTTGAGTTTTGAGTTGTTGTATTTCGAGTTTTAAGTTTTTTAAATGAGTTTTGAAAAGAAAAAATTTGTTTGGTTATGAGTTTTGAAAAACGTTTTGAGTTATATTGAGTTTTGAGTTGTATTTTAAAATTTTTTGGGTTTATTTTTTTAGGGTAAATATTTTTTTATTGTAAAATTTTTTTATTTATTTTAATATACGTTATATTTATTACATTTGTGCGCTATATTTTTTTAAAATATTTAAAATATTTTATTTTAAATATATTTTTTTTTCTAATTTTAAAATTTTTTGAATTGCCCATATATATTTAAATCATAACAAATTATTTGGCCAATACTTAAAAAAATAACAAAATATTTTTTTCAAAAAAAAAATATATTTTTCTTCAAAAATAAAAAAAAATATATTTTTCAAAACAATATATAATAAAAAATAATAAAATAAAATATTTTTTTATTTTTTTATAAAAGGTAGAGTTTTGAAAGAGTTTGGTTTTGAGTTTTGAATTATTTGTTTGATTATGAGTTTTGAAAATAATTTTTTAATTGAGTTTTGAATTGTATGTTTAATTATGAGATTTGAAAAGAGTTTTGAAATTTTTTGATTCAAATCACGATTTCAAAACAAAACCAAACGCTGCCATTGCTACCCAAATGGCCTTGTCATACCACCTATAAAATAGAGATTTAACAGAATTTGGATTCACCTATTCAATACCCCACCAGTCAAGACAAACCACCCAAGCCTTCCAAACTCTATTACTGGAAAGCAGAATGTGGTCCACTGTTTCAGTATCTGATCTGCAGAAATGACTGACACTCAAATTCGGGTTATTAAGAATACCAAATTTCGGTAGCAAATCAACGACTTTGATTCTACCATTCCATGCTAACCATCCAAAAAATTGGACTCTAGGAGGTATGGCATTCCCCCAAATGAAGGACATGATTCTCACTTTCGACTCACAGGAGGATTCGAGCCAATTATAGAGGATGTGAATTGAGCAAGTGTTCAAAGGATGGGCCTTCCACTGCAACATATCCTGATTATCATTGAGCTGAAACTAAGCTTGGGAAATGAGATTATGAAAGAATTCTAATGATTCCTCTTCCCAAGGTCGAAGAGCTCTTCTAAATGAGCCCTCGCTATCAACTTCCCACTGATCCAGAAAAAATCTCACTGACTCATTTTTAAGCAAAGAAAGGCTAAAAAGTCTTGGAAATTCCTTCTTTAGTGGACATGCCTTAAGCCACGAATCGTTCCAGAAGGATGCTGATCTTCCATCACCAATGGAAAGCTCAATATTGGAACCAAAAAAGGAGAACAAGTCAGAGCATCTATCTTTAACAGTTATCCTTCCAAATTCTTGATGAGTGTCGAGAAACAGTGTCAAATGGAAGCCAAGATCTGGGCTCAGTGCTGGACTTGCTGCAAATGATATTCCTTCAAATTGCAGATTTTCAGTGCCAAATCTCCACCACCACTTGAGCCACTTGAGCAGAAGGCATTCGTTTACAACCCTGATTTTTTTGATCTTGTTTGGATCATAAACCACAAATACGAGATAGAGTGCAATCTCAACTGGATCAAACAGTGGCTTGTCAAGTCCTCCCACAAAAGATGCCAACTAATGATATCAGTAAATGGTAAGCCTATGGTTTGGGCTAGATGATGTTAATAGAAATTGAGAGATTAGGGTTTTTAGAATGTGTTACCTTGCATGGTGTACCTCTTATATATATATATATATATACACACGTGTGATTCATGTCGTAGTGAAAATCCCTCCGTATGGTTGGTGGAGCAATCCTCTTACACTTTGCTCGATCGAAGAGTGCTATGTGGCTTCTTCCGTCTATGCATGTTCTCTAGAGTCAAATGGCATGACACACGTTCCTTAAATAATGTTAAATGATTATAGGTACGAGATTCACTGTAAATCCGCGTTAAAACTTCCGCTCGAGCGTGAAGGCCAAAATCTGGACATCACCTTTTGGTTTCAAAGTGCAACCAACCTGTTTCAAACCTGCCCATCACAACCCAAGATTCAAATACAAAGAGGAAAGGCTAGAAGTGATAATGATACAAAAACAAGTCCACGAAACCAAGTCCAAAATACAGTATACAAAGGAAGGAAAAACCGGGGTCGCTATATACAGTGGCCAACGAAAAACATATATGGCCACAATCACAATTCTATTCCTATTGCCATATCATAATAATTACAATTCTACTACATATCACAAACCTTAATATTGTATATCCGAATAGGTAAAGGTCATGCCAATTAAAACCTACATCATAATCTCAACAAACAACTAAAAATCTTATGATACTCATAATCAATAATGAGAATGATCACTGTCAGTAAGAAAATTTAACCTTGGGCTCTGATTCCACAGGTAGGAAATTTACATAATAATGTAGGAATCGTATCTACTCAATAAAAATAAATTATTGAACCAACATAATAATTTAATAAATAATTGCATACTCGTGTTCATGACCAATGACAAATATTTGCAAACAAAATGAGATGGCATGGTACCACACCCAATCTTCCTATGTGTGAGGCTGATAGGATTTAACAACCATATAACCAATATCTAGAGGTCATTGGGCGTTGTCTACTAACCTAAATTGCATTCCAATTATGACTCCACATGGCACAAGTAATATTGAATTTTACAAGTATTACCCGTAATAGCCGATCTAAAGGTTAATTCATAATCATTGTGCTAATGGTAAACCATTAGATAGTAGGTACCCATTTTACTAAGATCAGCATCTTTAATTCGAGTTTATTTAAACAAATATATATATATATATATATATATGTAATAAACTCCAAAATTAAAACAATATATATCTAATTCTTTTGTCAAGTGTATTCTATTTAGAGTATAATCCTTACATTATCTTAACGTTGCTACATGGAAAGGTTTGCTTAAGGTGGGTCTATGAGCAAGGAGTGAGCATACTTGTGAAGAGCTTTAACAAAGAGCGGATCAAAGAAAATCTTGACATATTTGATTGGATGCTAAGCCCCAAAAAGTCTAAGAAGATTGATCAAATTCCACGGAAAAAAGGGTGTCCTGGAATTGAGTTCATATCCGACCAAGGCCCATATAAATCTGTTGAGGAGCTTTGGGATGAAAATATCTAATGTTATATTAAGCAGTTCGATCTGGTAATAATGAATAAGTTGGAGAGGGTGTTATGATTTGTTAAGGTTATAATTTGAAGAAAAAATTTGTTGATTTTGATTTATTGTGAAAGGATATTCTCTATGCATGAGATTTTTGTCACTGTAGATATGAGAATGGTTAGATGTATGTTGTCTTACTTCTACGTAAAATACTTTTATATTTTGTTTGTTTGTATTTTGGTTTTTCAACTTAATTTTGTTCATTTTGCATTCTTCAATTGTGCTTCCAATGTATTGTGCCTTATATTTATTTACTTTTTCCCCTAATGAAATGAAATGTAGCAACCCAGGAGCTGGAGTAGAGAATCTGTTGGAGATGATTTTGAATAATTAACTCCTTAATTTAGTTAAAAAAACAAATGTAAGGCATCTGTTGTAGATGCTCTGCCTATTTATATACAAATAAGCACTTAAAATTGCATAATTCAAAGTCTAAACCAAAATTATAGTGGCCAACAAAAAACATATATGGCCAACAATCGCAATCACGTTCCTACTGCCATATTCTTATATCCTTCTAATTTTCCAATATGTTTATTCTAACTACGATAACTGTTCATTCTCAACATGGTATATCCAAATACATAAATTTATGCCATTTAAGGTCTACATCATGATCTCCACTAACAACTGAAAATCTTATGATACTTGCAATCAATAATGATATAATAATCACTATTGCTAAGCATATTATAATGTAGGGATCATAACCCAATAGCAATAAATTATTGTAATAACATAATAGTTTGTTAAAAGATTGCATACTTGTGTTAATGATCGTTGACGAATATCAGCAAACAAAACGAGACGATATGGTACCATATCCAGTTTAACCAAGGGATTATAGTCTGTATGATTAGCCGTTGGCCATCATGTCTCCCCATGAGGAGGGCTTGGGTTCCATTCTTAGGACTGAAATAAGGCAAGACTTACAAGTGCTTGCAAGATGAGGGTGGGAGTTCAATTCCCCTTAGGTGCTAATCTAACTACTAAATTTTTTCGATCAAAAAAAAAAAAAACCATATCCAGTCTTTCTATGTGTGATAGGATCTCACAAGCTTATAACCAATATCTATTGGTGACTAGATAATAACTGCTAACCCAAATTCCAATCCAATTTGGACTCCACCTATCACAAGCCCTATTCAGCACACTCACTAGACTTCTACAACTATTATCCATAATACCTGGTCTAAAGGTCAAATCATAGTCACTATGCAAATACTAAACCATTAGATCATAGGTGACGATTTTAGTAAGATCACCATCATTGATTTGAGTTTTTTTAAACAAAACAAAATATGAGTTATAAAGTCCAAATAAGAATAATCTACAACAAATTCTTCCATCGAGTCTTTTCTATTTAGAGTATCACTACAAGAAAAAGGACATACAGCGACGTTTTTTTTAATGACGTTTTTCAAAAGCGTCATCAAATCTGTCCAGATTTTTCAAATTCTAAAAGAATTAAACTAGACCATCTCGTTTTGTGTGCTAGTTAATTCTTTTAAACAGTGGCTCAACTCAAGGCTATGGCATTCTTTTATCCTGATTGAACAAAGCCGTGACTTTAGGAAGAGAGAGAAATCGAAGCGTTGGATCTTTGATCTCCATCAATTCTTTGACTGTTTGATCCGAAAAATCTTGTTCTACTCTTGATTTGAGGGTATATCTTCCTGATTGTTCGAATCCCTATCATCAAAATCGATCTAGGGCTCAAGGTTTGGGTTTTCTGGAGCGTATATCTTTCAGATTATTTGAATCCCTATGATCTAAATCGATCTAGGGCTCAAGGTTAGGGTTTTCTGATATAGATTTGCTGCATTCACACAAGATCTATAAAATTTCATAGCTAAAACTAACGATTTGGAATTATTTTCTCTTTGATTTAGTTGATTTCCAGCTTTTTTTGCTTTTGTTTTGTGTTTCCTCCTTTCGTTTTTGTTCCTTTATTCTTTCTAGTCCTTGTGTGGAAAACTCTTCTCTTTCATCAGATTGAGCAGCAGCAATGGTGAATCGATTTATCTAGGGCTTCGAGTGCGGTGTTAGTGTCTCTGATCATGCACGGGACAAGCAAGTGGCGTTGGATGTGGATCGTTGGAAACAGTGAGTAGAAGCTCAACGATGAAGAGATACAGATCTGCTCTCTCTTCGATCAGATATGTTCTCTCTCTCTCTCTCTCTCTCTCTCTCCGACCTGCTAACATGGTAATATCAGATCTGCTTTGTCTCTCTCTAGTCCATTATTTTGCCTTTTTTTGGAATCTCATTTTGGCATTTCTTGCCTGTAAGAGAGTGTTCATCACACTTCTCCAACATCAGTAATCTATTTTTATATGCTGAAAATGTCAATTTAACTTTGAACAACTGTCACTTTGGAAAATTATCTTCACTAGTTCCGATATGGTCAAGGTAGTCGTTTACTATCTTCATTACTTTGGAAAATTATTAGTCAACAAATTCATGCTCTGTGCTGAGCATGAATATGTTTAAAATATTTTGTTTTCAGAATTTTATATTCATATGAATCTGAAATATCAAAACTATTATTTTTGGTGATACTGTGATACACAATCTAAGTAAGTATCTAACTGTTATGTCTACTTTGATGGAGGACAAAATGGAATGAGCAACACATTAAGGAAAAATAAGTTGCCTTGGCAATAAAAGATAAGGCAGAAAAGAGAGATGGTGGAGGTTTCATGCTTTTTTGCTTTCTGAGAAGGTTTCATTGATAG